GGTGGTGATGAATGGAAACGTGGAGAAGGAGTCAAGGAAAGAAGCATTAAACAAACTTTGCTTCCAATGTAAAGCGACGTTAATTTAACCTAGAAACTGACTTGTGACTGTCATGCATCAGCCTTTCATCACCTGAGTCTTTGTTCCAAACTGAAGAGTTGATTGGACTCAGTCTGATCAGCTGTTCAAGAAACTAAAACATTCAGATTAAAGGTCTGAGGCTCAGAGTTCACTGTGTTTCTGCTGCATTTTATCGAAATCATAAACTCAGGAATGTAATTTTGGATTTGAGAGGTAAAATAGCTCTTTCCAGAGCCTGGATAGCTCAGTCGGTAGAGCATCAGACTTTTAATCTGAGGGTCCAGGGTTCAAGTCCCTGTTCAGGCTACGAGAGTTTTAACATGCTTCAATCATCTATGGACAAAAATGTTCAATCAAGAGCTGTTGCAGAATTCAAATCAACAAATCCACAAGATTTGATTCACAGCTCTGTTCACAACTCTATTCGTACATTCTGAAATACAAGAGAACTACAGTGTAAATGATTAGAATAATAATATTATGATAATAATAATGGCTGATATGGCTTTAAGCTCTGAGACGAGGATGCCTCATGAACACTAATTAGAAACTCGTCTCTTGATATTTATTACAGAGAATATATTCAATATCAGATGTGAATTTACCTCCTGAGTATCATCTTGAAACATATGAAGTTCATACCAGAACCATGTCTAACTTGTTTAGTAGATCACCTGAACCTTTATATGAAAAGTCTGATGCTCACAGTTTAATGCTTTGCTGCTGTAAATACAAGCATGTTGTCGTGTAACATCAGACTTTTAATCTGAGGATCCAGATACATGAGTATAAAAGCAGTCAATCAACATTCAACAAACGACCTGTCATTGATGCTCTGTCCATACTGGATTTGCATCTTTACATCTTAAGTGTGTCTGCTCCCTCCAGGCCCATCCTAAAGACACGTACCTGTCGCCTGACGACCTGAGAGCCCGCCCCCCCATCCTCTGCAGCCCCCAGTACTCGTCCCGTCGGGAGGTCGTCCTTCGCGGCTCGCTGCCGCCCGGCCGCTACATCATCATCCCGTCCACGGCAGAGCCCAACCAGCAGGGGGACTTCCTCCTCCGGGTGCTGACCGAGCAGGGCAACGCCGCCACGTGAGTCGTTCGTTCTCTCACTCAGGCTGTGTAGCGGCGTCACCTAAATCAGTATCATAGAATCCACAACACAGCAGGTCATTAGAGGTGACTGTTAATAAATTAGAGAAATGAGCCTGACATGTGCATCCTCTTATATGTTCTTTCTTTCTTTTTTTTTGGATTGACAGATAGATTCTGATCATTTTGCAGGATCATTTGGTCACTTGATGCTGACTTTGTTTGCCAAGCCACAGCATATTAGCTGTTAGTTTTCTCCTTGTGAGCTACAGTTAAATGCAAGCACTTGAGTTTTATTTATGTTGATCTCATATCCAGATAATTCACCAAATGATTCTAAGAAATGTTCATATTCTCTCTCCAGGCCAGCTCAGAAACCAGCTCCACAAGAAATATCTTCAGCATCAGAGGTAGGCAACAGTTATATCAGTTATTAGTGAAATAAACGATTAAAATATGTGAAAAATGAAGTGGATTAGACTGTGAAGCTTATGAATGTTGAAGAAGTGGCATTACAAGTACACACACTAAAGAAATGTTCAGTCTTGTACAATTTGCAGCTGTAATTTTCATTTTAGATGAATATATTTTGCTGTTTTACCATCAGTCCTCTCTCAATAACACATAATGACAAATTACATGTTTGTTTTTTTTAGAATTTTTTGTGAATTCATCAAAAATGAAAACTGAAACTTCTAATTTATAAAAGCATTCCAACCCTTATTTGAACTATTCTGTGGGGTGAGTTGTCCTGAAGGCATGATGCTGCCACCACCGTGCTCCATTGTGAGGATGGTGGTGAGTGTTAGACAAAGTCCTGCAGAAATAACTC